TTGGCCTGATGAGAAGTTACTGAAAGCGTTCGCTCGCCAAAATTGTGTTCTGGATTGTGATCTCGTTCACCATCTGTTGATGATGCTAATTGGTACTTTATGCGATCAGGATGATGACATGTAGATGGAAGAGTTAAACAGCCGGATGCCCAGATTGATTTTCGGCCCTGTTTGACCCCTAAGTAATTGTGTTATTTAGTTTTTTGAATCGTAACCTGGGAATTCGTTGATGTGAGAGGCTAGAGTGATCTTTCAACTGACAGAAGTTTTTACGATGTGACCATCAGCCAAGTGTGTTGAGGTGCCTTTAACAGTGTACTATGGTATGTCCATTTCCGCAGATGAGTTTCCCATTCTGTCTTCCCTACCTGCATCCGCGCCTGCCTCAAACCAACACCCGGCGACTGAACTTTCGATGCCACTACCACCACCATCAGCCGCGCATGGTTCCCTTCTTCCCCTTGTGCCTTCGTCTCCGCCAACATCGCAGCAGCTGGAGATGACCGCTGATTCTCCGCGGTTTCTCGCTACCATTGTCACTAAGACGGAGGACCCGACCCCCACACCCACCGTCACTGAGAGCCGTCAGGACATGGAACCGGAGAACCTCTTTAAGACCACGGTTAGTTGCGTTTGATCCCCTCAAACTCTGCCAACACTCACTCTTGGTTCAGCCTCTTCTCGCTTACGCAGTCGTTGGAAACGTATCGGTGGCGGTTTAGTTTATACAAGTGACGAAGTAACAGTGCCTTTCTGAGGCAGGGCAGAGGCGCGGTCGTGCCAGCAACAGCATGGGGTTCGAGAAGCAACTGATTCGGCGCTTTTTCCCCTGGCCTAGTTTTAGACCTGTCTGCCATACTTTTGTTCAGTGAGACAAGATCACATCTTGTACGCAGAAGAGAAACAGTTGTCACCGTTATCCGTCCCTCTATTTTCTGCTGTCTCTCACATCGCTGTTTACTAAACTAACCGCAGATTTAGTATTCCCATCTGGCGACTCTATTTATCACATACAGTAGATTTATTACCTCATGACATTTCAACCGAAATTTTAAAATGTGTTCTCGATTCGAAGAAAATGCTTAAGTAGGGTTTTAATATTACTTATCATGCAGCCTAATCGCAGGCTATTTCAGTCACTTCAGAATGCCGGCTTTCACACAAGCTCCTTTCTGTCCGCCTACAGAAAGTGCAGTTTGTAGCAAATAACTACTTCGGCAGCATGAATGTTTTTCATTCATTTTCGACATTCTTATGAATTTAAATATATTTAATAGAAAAAATGCTCAAACGCTGTTTCTTGTAGTCACTTAGTAGAGAATTACATCTTATTTAGATGTTATACTGGAAGATAACATATCCTTACCAATGTTTCTAATTTCGGGTTTTTAAGATCGTGAAATTTCTGTCAATAATACATTATATCCGCCCATTTGTTAATGTTACTTAGAAAGTCAACAACGTGGCCTGCACCCATCATATCACATTTTAGCATTATGTAACGTCTTCCCCTTAGGTCAGAGAAAGGTGTTATTATCTTTAGACAGAATGTTTACAACGCGTACCTTGCAAAGCCCGAATGCAATGCCGGAAGGATTCGGAATAACTTGGCGATGTATGAAGTTTTAAAAGCCAAAAGATGTACTTCCTTCAAACATTAAAATTTAAAGAAGACGTAATTTGCTATCAACTGACTACAAGAAAAAGATTTTGTGCATGTTTTCTATAAGATGTGTTTGAATTAATAAGATCATCTAATATCAATTAGAAAGGTGCAGACTACTTAAGTAGCCATTTTTGCATACTGCAGTCTCTACATAGGCGGTTGGGAAAAAGCTAATTTAAAAGCCGGCATCCCGAAGTGGACGGAAACTATCGTGTGTTCAGGGTGTATGATAGGTAATATTACGAACAAACTTAAGCATTTTCAGAAGATAAGTTGGCGAACATACGTTTGTTTCCGATAAATTCTCGTCAGGCCTTTACATTTA